TTATATGGTAGAGACATCTATCAATTGATCTATCATGAAGGCTCTCATAACCTACACAAGCCTGTTATTTCAGGCATATTCCCTACTTGGAATTCAAATAGTTAATGTGAAAAAATTATGGAATCACCAATAAATACTGCCTGAACTGGCAAATCATTTTCAATGTTACAGTGTAACAGTACCCCAAAGCCAGACTGGTATACTGAACAACGTTAAAGCTAACTCTCTATCCACACAATTATACTAAAATTTATTCAGAAACCAAAACTCTATACCCTATAATAATCTGCCAGCTCCCTCATTATTTCTATGTTTTCTTCTTGTGATTTCTGACGCATTTCCAGGATTCTTAAGTCTTTCATCATTTATCAAAAAGAAGTATCATAAAACATCTGTTTTCATCCTTAACACAGCTTCTGCGACAAAGCCTATCATTTACGGCTCACTTTCACTGAAAAAATCTAAATGCAGGATTTTTTGCATCTTAAACGTTATGGGTAAGGACAGAAGACATGCCGTGCCACAACTTTTAACTAAATATTACCCTAAGCCCACGAGATCATTTATCAACATCGCCAACTCTCCATTCGCCTATACCAAGTTATTTCTGCTCCATTACAGTGCCATTTTGTTGAGGGTGTGGGTATGACTATCGAAAGAAGCATACAATCAAGGAAAAAATTATCTTGAAGTACTGACAATGTTTTTTAGTGGTTTGTGCAATGATAAAATCATCAGTCACCGTAAAATCACAAACAGTAACATTGACGATTAATACGTATAATTCTCACGGTATGTTTAATCTATTCAACTAGTAAAATATTCGAATATTCTATTTTTTAGGTTCTTATTCTTGTTCAGCTATTTTTTGATTTGGCATCTCAATAAAAGAACATAAAAAACTGAAAAGTCGCATATAAATCTAAATGCAAATGAAATTTGGCTTCATGAGGCTTTTACAAACTATCTTAGTTCTGCATAGAGTCTCCTGAAACCACCTCCATTGAATTCTGCACCGTTGTTTTATCTATTCCACCTTATTTCTATGAGTTCTCTATGAGAAATTTATTTTTTATTGAAAAACCACTAGACCGTTTTTTTTCATGCTGTCATTGTAGACGCCTTTTCTCAGCATGGGAATTGATATTGAAAAAACCGAGCTACACTTGTGTAGCCCGTCGAATAGCGCTTCGGATGACGGGTGAATAGATGCTCTATCTGCCTGCAAAAAAGACTAGATAGATTTGCAAAATTCACAAGTACAAAACTGGCTGACCCTAAATGCTCGTTGGCCACGTTGAACATGTAATATCCGATAAAGCTTTAGATGTTGCTGCTAGACCCATTTGTCTATGATGAATTCGAAAATCATATTGGTGAGAAAGGAAAGTGGAACGGGAAAGAAATAAACGTTGTTTGTTAAAAAGCAATTTTTTTGCTGATTTTTAGACCCTCTTGGTAGCTTGCGTTTTTCTCCACGAATGTGTTGTCAAATGAAGAACCTAAGTAGATATTCGTGATCAGCGTGAAAAGGGGAATCTACTGATGTATGTTTAAGCAAAAACCAAGAGGTGCTGTAATTTTGAATTACCCGCACCTTACAACAAACTCTCTTGCCAGTTCATTCATCGCTTATGACTCAAAGCGTATTGAACTTAAAATAAACATAGTTTAGTGCTAGTAAGAAAAATCGTTTATTTTTCTGATGATTGATTATTTTGGAATGAAATTGTAATTTGTATAACGAAACTGACAAACTACGGAACGCTATATATTAGTTTTGAAGGAACTGTATTATCATAAACACAATAAAATCAAATGAATTATTTAGATTATCAGTTATTTCTGATATTGATTTTATTTTGAATCGAGTTTGTCGATTACTTCAAACAGAATGGGTACTGGTCGGTTATTCAAATACTATAGGTTTGAATATATAGCTTTTGCAATCGCTTCTACGTACCTATTGAATTTCTTGGCAATTAGTCAAATTATGTCGGTGGCCATGGGCACTGACGTGAATTTATTTTATCTTGCACACCTACAGCTCATAGTTTGAATAAAACAACTACTCTCTCCATAACTGATCGGCTGTCACTGTTTTTTGGCCGACGAGTGATGGCATAAATAGAATAAGTAATATTAGTTGGACGGGCAGAAATGGCTCCTGTTGCCTACGACCCTGACAGAAAACATGATGATGATTTACTTGCGGGATATCGAATGGAATACCTGAATGACTTATCTCCTGGACGGGGTGTGGGTGCACTGTAAAAAAATAGGCACTTTACGGAACCTCGAAAAAAAGGATCGGTAGACGACAAAAAGCTTGCAAATGTGTTCAAAGTTTCAAAAAAAGAATAAAAAAGTCCACAGAACCTTTAAAGGATCTTACCGTGTACCCAAGTGAAGATCATTTTCTCTTCGAAACCTTTTTAAGTTCCGTACACTAAAAAATAGGTTTTGTAGGAACATACGAAACCTTTAGAGTTTCGTATTAAATATAATAGTTTTACAGGAAGTTCAGTACGAAACCATGAGGTTTAATACGAAACTCTAAAGGTTTCGTATGTTCCTACAAAACCTATTTTTTGGTGTACGGAACTTAAAAAGGTTTCGAAGAGAAAAGGATCTTCACTTGGGTACACGGTAAGATCCTTTAAAGGTTCTGTGGGCTTTTTTATTCTTTTTTTGAAACTTTGAACACATTTGCAAGCTTTTTGTCGTTAACCGAACCTTTTTTCGAGGTTCCGTAAAGTACCTATTTTTTTTTACAGTGCACCCACGCCCCACACACCCACACCCACGCGAAAACACACTCTTTTAAAAACCTTTAGTAGTGATATTGCACGAAAATAAGTTATTGTAAATTATGGGAAGAAAAAAAAGAATACGTAACATAAATTCTATACATACGATAATGAAAATAAGAAGCGAACAATTACTTGTATTATGATACATAAAAATAGGAGATTTTCGATCTATAGCAGCTTATAATTAATGATAGTATTAGTGAAGATACACGAAAGTAAATTATGAGTCATTTAAAAATTTGTTTATCTATTAAGACTCAGACAAATCACAATCCAGTATTGATGAGAAGATGCATGATTCAGTCATAGAATGTAAATAGCGTTCAATTGTGTTGTTACTCAATTATTAATAAGTATATTTTTCATATGTCAAAGGTCGCAGCTTTTCTATACCAGATGGCAGAAAATTAGTATCTATGGGTGAACAGTGATGATTCCTACTCTCTGTGTTTGTAGTCGACCGAAATGTTTTACTTCTCTCCAAATTCGCGGTAAAGTGGTAAGGCATATGAATGGTAGTAAAAAAACTGGAAAATATGATAAAAAGAATAGTATTGGTTCCAGTTCTTTGCCAAAACCAGGATCACTATAATCTTGAGCTAGATAAATAGTCGACACTGGAAAACAAAATAATAAGTATAATAACGACATACAAATAACGTTCAGAGTTAATTTCCTTTGTTTTCGCCACTGAATTTGTCGGTGCATTTTATATTTTTGCCAAATGACACGCATAAGTAGAGATATGCTGAAGATTGCAATGAGTGACATTGCTATAAAAGCAAAACCAATTTGTTCAACTGTAGCAAAAAAAAGTACAGATTCATAACATGGAAACATGCCGCACAGATCTAGTGTGTAATCATAGGTATTCTGGCAAGGTGGTACGAATATTGCTATGATGTAGAAAACCATAATAATCAATACAATCATTGCAAGTGGAAGATAGTGAATGAATAGACGTTTCTGCCATGTAGCTATTAATGTAGTATGAAAAAAAAGAATGTGTCGTTCAATAACTGTCCAAAGAAGCAATGATACATTGATGAAAAAGAATCCCCAATCGATAAACCACCATATAAGACAGAAGATCGGCGTAGCTGGACGAATGATTCCTGTATAGAAATATTGTAAATGCCACGGAATATCGACTAACTGATAGATGAGATTGAATGACAGCATGAGAATGGAGGAATGGTTGTAAAGCGCTTGACGCAAGACTTGTTTATGTAATAAGTGATAGAGGACGAAAATGGAGCAGACAACAGAGGGTAGATCAAATCCAAGAAATAACCAAAAACGAATAGTTCGTCCAATTTCATGGTCCTGAATCGATACATTAGCATACGAGCTACCGTTTTCATATTCTAACGCCATATACGGTTAGTATTCGTTATATACCATACGCGCGAAGCTCATAACTGCATCCATAACTTAGTTGAATTGACGACATACATTAATTAGACAACAGGTTTTTCAAGTGCATGCATTTTTTCTTGATTAAAACTTCCTCATGCGTCTATGCGCGCTACAAAAGAAAAAAGTTTAAAACTCATTTATCGAACAAAAGTTGTGATGTAAAACTTTGAAAAAATTACACAGTAAACGTTATACACAGCATCTTCATGATTCTTCGTAGCTATGATTATCACAAACTGCCCAACATTCTTCTCGACAGTATTTCTCTCTTCTACGGCTATCAACATAGTCTAATATAACTGACTTTTCCGGCATGATTCATGACGCACGACTTTATATTCATAGAAAACAAAAAGAGCGATATGAAATTTTTCTCAAGTAACTTTGCTTAAATATCCCTGTTGTAGATTGTAAATGTCGAAATCAATGGTTCATACCTTTGATATGTTTTGCAAGAAGGAAATGCTTCTAAGTAATTGTTCTTTATTTTAATTCGGTAAATGCATTTAACAATGAATAATAAAGAAAAAAATAGCGAACATAACATTGTTTTTATTAATGAGACGTTTCGTTAACTACAGTTAACTTCGTCAGTCAGAATAAAATGAAGTTACATGAAAAAGAAAAGAAACGTTATATACACTTTATGAGTATTGTTGTCCATTTTGACGAGAGAAAATAAGAACAACAATAAGATAATGAAATATTCATAAAGTGTATATAACGTTT